GTGGCAGTGCTATCAGTGATTCTAGTTGGTCTAGTGATTAAGGGTATGAGGAAGCAGGAGTTCATACAGTTGAGGAAGCTAACAGCAGTAGGGTGTTCTGGCTCGCAGAGGTCAATATTAAAGTCCCCTGCGATAATTAGGTGGTTTTTGTTCAGTCTGTTATCAAGTATTAGATTTCTAAGGTTTGAGTTGAATTCGGACACATCAGTGTTAGGAATTCTATAAACTGCACCCACAGACAGGACAGACTCGGCACCCTTGACTCTGAAGCTGGCGAAGATATACTCCCCATAGCAGTCTCTAGTTCTAATTTCTTTTAAGCATGTTAGTTCATGGTGGTAGTAAAGAACAGTGCCACCACCTCTCTGAAGTTGACGACAGTTGTGAATTGCTGAGTAGTTAGGCATGTTAAAGAGTTGAGTAGTATCCTCTTTCAACCATGTTTCAGTAAGTATAATAAAAGAGAATTTGTTGTCAATAGCTTCAATCAAGGCACTAACATCATCGAAGTGTTTACCTAGGGATCTAACATTCAAATTGATTACAGAGATATTGTGATTATGAGTTACTACATTGTTTACATCATGTGCTGCAAAATATCTGCAATTTAGATCATTAAAGTGATTATTGTCATAGATAGTGGATAAGAGGTTAAGTTCTGGGTCTATACTTGACTGCATTAAAAAAAGCTGATTGCAGGAAAAACAAGGAAAGAAAGGCAGATTATAAGGTAGAAATAAGCAATAAAATAGGGAAAAAAAATGTACACAATACTGTGCAAAACAAACACAAAAGGGGCTTACAGGGGTACAATGGAGTAAGGGAGTATGGCTAGGCTAGGAAACCTAGGTAATAAATGAGATTAAAGAAAAAACATATAAACATGGACTATACAAAACACAAGATATAGATATACAAAACAAAAATATAAACAAGACTAAGCAATACAAAAACAAATTGAGCAAAAATGAAAAATGAGGTAGATTGCTTACAAGTACTCTCAGGTACACTGTAAGTAACAATAGATAGATAATATATATCAATATAGATAAGAATGTCACGATACAATAAGATGAGCAGTTACAGGAACAGATGAAAGCAAATCTGCTGTAAAATAGAAAGTAATTATAGCAAAACACAACAATATAATAATATAACAATACAATAAGAGCTTACAAAGTATTGAGTCTGCTAAATTAGAGAATAATTATGGCAAGACACAACAATAAATGCAAGTAAACAAAAGAATTGAAACAATTAGAGGTAGAATTAAGGTCACTAGATAGCCATGGAGGATACACAAGTTTGGTGGAGAGAACAAAAAATCAGTAGAGACTGTCAAGATGAATGTATAAAAAAATTTGACAAATGATAATTGTAAAGTAAAATAATCTTAAAGATAAAAATTTTTATTAAGCTTAGTTTTAAGTTATAATTAGTATGAATTTAATTAAAAGAACAAAAATGAGATCAATAATTGATTTCAATAAATGATATAGATCAATACAAATAAATTTAAAATATAATTGGAATAGGGTAAGATTAGATTTAAGAGTAAAATTTTACAATGAAACTGAGGTAGATGCTTGCATAAGTGCATGGAGACTTGATGGATTATTTAGGAAATTATATGAATGAGAGAACATTAGGTAAAAGGTAAGGCAGAGACAGCACCTTAGACAAAGTTAGATTAAGTTAGGTTAGGCTCAGGCACTGAAAGAGTTATTTTAAGTACTGGCATTGGTCGGGTTCAGGTTTTCAGATATACCACAATCACTTAAGAAGGCCAGGAGTTGTTGGTCACATTTTATTTCATATCTTTTTCCTGTAATTTCCTTCTTCGCAAAAATCGTACCATTCCTAGTGTAGCACTGCTTGATAACACCAGGGTTTTGTTTGCGAATTTGGCGCAGCCTGTAGAGGAGGGATCCACGCTGCTTTGTAAGACACTCATTTATATAGAGGTTGGTTTTTTGCTTAGCAGCTGATTGTATGAGGTCAGACTTCACAGAGGGATTTGCAAGTTTGATGAGCATTCTCCTAATGGTACGGGGATTGTTTTTATCTAACCTAATAGCCGATTTGATTTGAACATTGACACTGATCTTTGAATTAATTAGGGTGTTGGCCATGTTACAGCAATCCTCACCTTGTTGTTCATCAGGTAGATCAGTAGAGCTAATTATCAGGGAGTCATGAAGTTGTTGTTGCTCTTGGTCATCTTCGGAAGCCGCCTGGTGAATCTGAAGGAGATTGATCTGTTTTTCCAGCTTTTGAAGGAGGTCACTTTGAGCTGAGTGGGTTTCTTCGGCCTGAATCTTACGTATTTGTTCCATTGCACCATTTGCAACAGTTTGTATGTTGTGAATTTCTTGGTTGTTGTTCGTCGACGATTCAAGGAGGCGGTCTATGGTGTTGTTGTCGGGTGACTGTGGCTTGGAGGGCCGAAATAGCTTCTGATTGCATTTTCACAAGGTTGTGCAGTTTCTGGAGCCATGGATTACTTCGGAGAGGTTTGAAGTTTGGACAGGGAGCCATAGATTGAGTGAATTCTACAGCTAGAGATTCGAGTGAGTGAGTTGAAGGGGGGGAGTGAGGAGGGGGAGCGGATGCTGTGTTTACCAACATCGGCGGGGATTGCAACGTTGCCAGTGTTTCATTCAGAACTCTAGGAGTAATGGAACCAGAGCGAGAGGCACCCCTACCTTGCTTGGTGTTATGTTTGGGCATGTTTTCGACGAATAGATTCTTGGTAGCGTTTCTAAAGGTAGATACTTGGTGAATTATAGTAGGGATGCCTAGCGTATAGGGAACACATCGCTGAAGGGTCGTAGAAAGGCAGGCGAAAATTGGTTAATTTTGGTTGATTACTGTTGAGGTTCACTGTGAGTTATGGCATATTAAGTCTCCATGCACTTAACTCGTGCTAGGCAGACCCAAATTTGACCCAAACCTCCCTGCAGTTTTTAAAATATCCCAAATATCCCAATTACGAGGCCTGAGCCATATTTTGGAGCCAAATTCTGGCTCTCTGCACGTATTCGCAGTTTGATATTACGACTTTTTATACCCAACATATGCCAAGTACTGGACGCAGCAGTGAGTCACATTTTGCACAAACTCCCCTGCAGTTTCCGAAATATCCCAAATATCCCAATTTCGAGGCCTGAGCCATATTATGGAGCCAAATTCTGGCTCTCTGCACGTATTCGCAGTTTGAAATTGCGACTTTTTATACCAACATATGCCAAGTATTCACATCAATCGCCAAGTACTCGGCGATTGATGTGAATAGTTTTTTATTTGGTGTTGATAGTCCTTATGCTTTGGCGGCATTTTCTAGGTATGTTCTTATAGACAATTTTATTGCGAACACAGTGATACCAAATTTAAATACGTGCGCCTTCAATTATTGTCAGGACAGTCAAAAGAGAGTTCACTTTTTCGGTCTTACCGCGTAGGCGCCCGAACCGCCAGAAGCACATAGGGTATGATTTTTTTGAATGCCAAGAGCGCGAAATTGTTTTAAAAACTGCAGGGGGGGTTTGGGCAAAATGTGTCCCACCGCCGCTTTCAGTAATTCATTATCACCACACCAGAAATAAATATCTCTTTGATATCCCCAGAGTTAAACTTAATCTGTGTAAACACTCTATGCAAATAAAGGGACCCAGTTTATGGAACTCACTCCCTACTGAATTGAAAAGCTGTCCAACTTTTACATCATTCAAAATCAATACTAAAAAGTACCTAATTTCATCTTCATAGTTTTTCACTTTTTGCCTTAAAATTGCACTGTATTAATTGCTACCCAATCTCCCAATCTTTATGTACCCAATCTGAACATCTTTACCGTTGTGATCATTGCTGTCTTATATGTGCTGTCAATCTGCTGTATGGTGTCTATTAACCTTGTTTAAATTACTAATCAAGCTGTCAATGTAATCAATCAGAGCTTTAATATAACAATATGCTTTAATATACCTACTTATCTCTCTCATCTCATTTTTCTCTTGTAATGTGTCTTTATCATTTATGAATTCTGATTGAAATTACCTACTTAAAATTATCTGCTAGATTAAGGACCTGCCCGAAACGCTGCGCGTACTAGTGGCTTTACAAGAATGTAAATACTGTACTATCCAATGTATTCTCACAAACCCAATGTACCTTCTTGTATATATAAATAAATAAATAAATAAATAAATAAATAAATAAATAAATAAATAAATAAATTGGCATTTTTCGGTATAAAAAGCTGGAATTTCAAACTGCGAATACGTGCAGAGAGCCAGAATTTGGCTCCAAAATATGGCTCAGGTATCGGATTTGGGATGTTTGGGATATTATGAAAACTGCATGGGGGTTTGGGCAAAATGTGACCCACCGCCGCTTGCAGTAATTATCAGATTTTCGGTATAAAAAGCCGGAATTTCAAACTGCGAATACGTGCAGAGAGCCAGATTTTGGCTCTAAAATATGGCTCAGGTATCGGATTTGGGATGTTTGGGATATTTTGAAAATTGCAGGGGGGTTTGGGCAAAATGTGACCCACCGCCGCTTTCATTAATTGACATATTTTCGGTATAAAAAGTAGGAATTTCAAACTGCGAATACGTGCAGAGAGGCAGAATTTGGCTCTAAAATATGGCTCAGGTATCGGATTTGGGATGTTTGGGATATTTTGAAAACTTCAGGGGGGTTTGGGCAAAATGTGACCCACCGCCGCTCTCAGTAATTGGTTTATTTTCAGTATAAAAAGTCTGAATTTCAAACTGCGAATACGTGCAGAGAGCCAGAATTTAGCTCCAAAATATGGCTCAGGTATCGGATTTGGGATGTTTGGGTTATTCTAAAAACTGCAGGTGGGTTTGGGCAAAATGTGACCCACCGCCGCTTTTAGTAATTGGCATATTTTCGGTATAAAAAGCCGGAATTTCAAACTGCGAATACGTGCAGAGAGCCAGAATTTGGCTCTAAAATATGGCTCAGGTATCGGATATGGGATGTTTGGGATATTTTGAAAACTGCAGGGGGGTTTGGTCAAAATGTGACCCATCACCGCTTTCAGTAATTGGTATATTTTCAGTATATAATTCGGAATTTCAAACTGCGAATACGTGCAGAGAGCCAGAATTTGGCTCCAAAATATGGCTCAGGTTTCGGATTTGGGATGTTTGGGATATTTTAAAAACTGCAGGGGAGTTTGGGCAAAATGTGACCCACCGCCGCTCTCAGTAATTGGCATATTTTCGGTTTAAAAAGCCGGAATTTCAAACGGCGAATACGTGCAGAGAGCCAGAATTTGGCTCTAAAATATGACTCAGGTATCGGATTTGGGATGTTTGGGATATTTTGAAAACTGCAGGGGGGTTTGGGCAAAATGTGACCCACCGCCGCTTTCAGTAATTGGCATATTTTCGGTATAAAAAGTCGGAATTTCAAACTGTGAATACGTGCAGAGAGCCAGAATTTGGCTCCAAAATATGGCTCAGGTATCGGATTTTGGATGTTTGGGATATTTTGAATACTGCTGGGGGGTTTGGGCAAAATGTGACCCACCGCCGCTTTCAGTAATTGGTATATTTTCAGTATGAAAAGTAGGAATTTCAAACTGCGAATACGTGCAGAGAGCCAGAATTTGGCTCCAAAATATGGCTCAGGTATCGAATTTGGGATGTTTGGGATATTTTAAAAACTGCAGGGGGGTTTGGGCAAAATGTGACCCACCGCCGCTTTCAGTAATTGGCATATTTTCGGTATAAAAAGTCAGAATTTCAAACTGCGAATACGTGCAGAGAGCCAGAATTTGGCTCCAAAATATTGCTCAGGTATTGGATTTTGGATGTTTGGGATATTTTGAAAACTGCAGGGGAGTTTGGGCAAAATGTGACCCACCGCCGCTCTCAGTAATTGGCATATTTTCGGTTTAAAAAGCCGGAATTTCAAACTGCGAATACGTGCAGAGAGCCAGAATTTGGCTCTAAAATATGATTCAGGTATCGGATTTGGGATGTTTGGGATATTTTGAAAACTGCATGGGGGTTTGGGCAAAATGTGACCCACTGCCGCTTTCATTAATTGGCATATTTTCGGTATAAAAAGTAGGAAATTCAAATTGCGAATACGTGCAGAGAGCCAGAATTTGGCTCTAAAATATGGCTCAGGTATCGGATTTGGGATGTTTGGGATATTTTGAAAACTGCAGGGGTTTTTGGGCAAAATGTGACCCACCGCCGCTTTAAGTAATTGGCAAATTTTCGGTATAAAAAGTAGGAATTTCAAACTGCGAATACATGCAGAGAGCCAGAATTTGGCTCCAAAATGTGGCTCAGGTATCGGATTTGGGATGTTTGGGATAATTTAAAAACTGCAGGGGGGGTTTGGGCAAAATGTGACCCACCGCCGCTTTCAGTAATTATCATATTTTCGGTATAAAAAGCCGGAATTTCAAACTGCGAATACGTGCAGAGAGCCAGAATTTGGCTCTAAAATATGGCTCAGGTATCGGATTTGGGATGTTTGGGATATTTTGAAAACTGCATGGGGGTTTGGACAAAATGTGACCCACTGCCGCTTTCATTAATTGGCATATTTTCGGTATAAAAAGTAGGAAATTCAAATTGCGAATACGTGCAGAGAGCCAGAATTTGGCTCTAAAATATGGCTCAGGTATCGGATTTGGGATGTTTGGGATATTTTGAAAACTGCATGGGGGTTTGGGCAAAATGTGACCCACTGCCGCTTTCATTAATTGGCATATTTTCGGTATAAAAAGTCTGAATTTCAAACTGCGAATACGTGCAGAGAGCCAGAATTTGGCTCCAAAATATGGCTCAGGTATCGGATTTGGGATGTTTGGGATATTTTGAAAACTGCAGGGGGGTTTGGGCAAAATGTGACCCACCACCACTTTCAGTTGTATAATATGTATATTATGTATAATATGTATAACATGTATAACAACGTGTGGTGTTATAATGTAATGATTTTGTTACAGTGTGAAGGTGGTTTGTTAGTGTGGTGGATGGTTATTGTGGGATAATGGATGGTGGTGTGTTAGTCTAATTGGTGGTGTAATGATTGATGATATGGGCAGGCAGGGCAGCAATTGGTGGTGATAATGATTGATGATGTGGGCAGGCAGGGCAGCCATTGGTGGTGATAATGATTGATGATGTGGGCAGGCAGGACAGCCATTGGTGGTGATAATGATTGATGATGTGGGCAGGCAGGGCAGCCATTGGTGGTGATAATGATTGATGATGTGGGCAGGCAGGGCAGCCATTGGTGGTGATAATGATTGAGGAGCCGGTCGGCCGGGCGGACAACACGCTGGACTTGTGATCCTGTGGTCCTGGGTTCAATCGCAGGCGCCGGCGAGAAACAATGGGCAGAGTTTCTTTCACCCTATGCCCCTGTTACCTAGCAGTAAAATAGGTACCTGGGTGTTAGTCAGCTGTCACGAGCTGCTTCCTGGGGGTGGAGGCCTGGTCGAAGACCGGGCCGCAGGGACACTAAAGCCCCGAAATCATCTCAAGATAACCTCAAGATGTGGGTTTTAGAGTGTAATGGGTGGTGATGTTGGTTTTAGAGTGTAATGGGTGGTGATATTGGTTTTAGAGTGTAATGGGTGGTGATGTTGGTTTTAGAGTGTAATGGGTGGTGATGTTGGTTTTAGAGTGTAATGGGTGGTGATGTTGGTTTTAGAGTGTAATGGGTGGTGATATTGGTTTTAGAGTGTAATGGGTGGTGATGTTGGTTAGAGTGTAATGGGTGGTGAAGTTGGTTTTAGAGTGTAATGGGTGGTGATGTTGGTTTTAGAGTGTAATGGGTGGTGATGTTGGTTAGAGTGTAATGGGTGGTGAAGTTGGTTTTAGAGTGTAATGGGTGGTGATATGTTGGTTTTAGAGTGTAATGGGTGGTGATGTTGGTTTTAGAGTGTAATGGGTGGTGATATTGGTTTTAGAGTGTAATGGGTGGTGATGTTGGTTAGAGTGTAATGGGTGGTGAAGTTGGTTTTAGAGTGTAATGGGTGGTGATGTTGGTTTTAGAGTGTAATGGGTGGTGATGTTGGTTAGAGTGTAATGGGTGGTGAAGTTGGTTTTAGAGTGTAATGGGTGGTGATATGTTGGTTTTAGAGTGTAATGGGTGGTGATGTTGGTAAGAGTGTAATGTTAAAACTTCAATGCTATGTACCTCATAAACCAAATATACCTTCTTGTGTATATATATATAAATAGATTAATAAAATAAATAAGTTACAGCATTGATAAGGATAAATAGCTTAGGATAATTAACATACTGTGATGGTTATAGTCAGATATAATGAGTGAAGGGCGAGTGGAAAAGTTCATTATTATTATTCAATTATTATGAGTGAATTATTAAATCATACATTTGATTTGATAATATATTATTATATTATTATTCTTAAGGGAGTGTTTGAGGGAGACGGTGTATAATGTTGTTGTGTTTCCCGCGTGAATGTGGCGGGAGCTGAAGCTGCCAGTGGATTCCCTCGACACTCCCTGGTGAGTCTCTCTCTCTCTTTCTCTCCCTAGTGAGTCTCTCTCCCTCTTTTCTCTCCCTAGTGAGTCTCTCTCCCTCTTTTCTCTCCCTAGTGAGTCTCTCTCCCTCTTTTCTCTCCCTAGTGAGTCTCTTTCTTTTCTCTCCCTTGTTACACAATTGGTCTTGATGAATTGCTCTTCATCTATCCTATTACCGAGTGTACACTTGGGGTCGTGACCTGTACCAGTGCCCAGTTGGGTACTCTGTGCCGGTCTGACACGGGTCAGTGCCTTTCTGGTACTGGCGTGACAATACCCAGTGATACCCCCTCGTGCCAGTCTGGGATTGTTCCCGGTCTGGTAATGCCCAGTCTACGCTGTGCCAGTCTGGGGGTTTGATTGGAAAGTATGGTGGGGGCTCCTGGTGGGGTACCGCATGCCACCCTAGGGTCATGCCTGAGCTGAGGCTGCCCACCGTGGCGTCCCCTCACCCCTCGACCACCGCAGCTCATCAGTGATGCTTTATGGCATCCATTAGAATATATTTATACAAAAAATATGTATACTTGCTCAAGCAGGTGAGTTTTAAAGTTGTGTAATATTTAATAATATTGTTTATTTAACAGGGGAAATATTTGTATAATATAAATGAGTACAGATACTGCAATTTTGTACACCAGAAATTCTTCACTGGTTATTTCAGCTCTTAATTATACAATTTAAAAGTTTAATGCTTTGTATTTTGCAGTTATTTTACAGTGGCACTAGGCCATACTTCAGAGACTCCAAACATGTCATGTGTTAGGTTCCACAAATGTGTATGTGAACCATCTGGTGAACTTTGGTTCACCAGATGGTTCATACTACTATTATCATGGTATTACATATGGTATTGCATATGGAATACTATATGGTATTGTAAGTGAAGAATTGTATTAAAATAAGTGAAGAATTATGTAGAAATACTGAATTGTATTTGTGCTGCTTTTTCAGCTATGTTTTCATTCCATGTTTTCATTTTACTCTTTATGCTCACTTAGTATTAAGCTTTAGTCATTAAAGTTTTTCATGCCCGAAACGCTTTGCGTAATAGTGGCTTTAGGCATTGTATGTACTAGCCCTATCTATAAATCCATCATTCTTTGTAAAATCTCTTGTATGTATGTACCTTACCTAAATAAACATTTGATTTAATGGGTGGTGATGTTGGTTTTAGGGTGTAATGGGTGGTGATGTTGGTTAGAGTGTAATGGGTGGTGATGTTGGTTTTAGAGTGTAATGGGTGGTGATGTTGGTTAGAGTGTAATGGGTGGTGATGTTGGTTTTAGAGTGTAATGGGTGGTGATGTTGGTTTTAGAGTGTAATGGGTGGTGATGTGGGATTTACAGTGTAATGGGTGTTGATGGTTGAGTGATATGTGGTGCTAATGTGTTACAGGGAGGACCTGGAAAAATACAGGTTTGGAAACAAGATTGTTATTTTTTTAAACAAATTAGTACAAGGAAACATAATAGACATAATATCACTTGATTGTTTCAAGCATAGGTTAGACCTTTATATATATAAATAAGGTTGGGTGGATATAGATATAGGCTGCCTCCTATTTTTACTCATTTATAAGCTGCAGTTTCCTTTATCCATACACCCAACCACATGGGTTGAACGGTAGAGCGACGGTCTCACTTTGTGCAGGTCGGCATTCAGCGGACAAGTTCTATATAGTCGTAATGATTTGGCACTGTCTCCTGATAGTTCCCTTCCCTTATTCCTATGCTGGTATGTTGGTGTGTGGTAGTGGTGTGTTAAGGTGTGATGGATGGTAGCTTCAGAGTGTGATGTGTTGCAGGCATGGCTCGGCCACCATCCTGACGGCCGACGATGGGGAAGGTGACCAACGCATCCGTCTCACTGGAGGGACGCCAGCTGCTGGAAGTGGACAAGCAGGAAGGTGTTCATGTCGGAGGCTCTCCGGAGTACCTGGGTGTGAGTGTCTTCAAGATCAAGGGCGACTACCGTGATGGTAAGGAGACCCGCTTCTCACCAGCCCACTGTGTCACCAGCAGTACTTTCTCCTCTAGTGTTGAATATCCAGGCTACGTAAGAATTACGGTAATAATTTAAATATCGGAATGCTTTAAAAGACAATAGCTTCACAAATTATATTATTTTGTTATGATGCTTTTGCAGTAAAGACCATATAACCCCAACCAGTAAAGACCATAACCCCAACCCACATACACTAAATGATGATGTTAATAATGAACTAAAAAATGTCCACTTATGGATGTCAACCAACAAACTAACACTTAACATAGAAAAGACCTACTACATCCTATTTGGAAGCAAATCTACAAATGCAATCCAGCTTCAGATTGACAATGTAAACATTAGCAATAAAAATGATGGAAAGTTTCTTGGCATATTCCTAGACAAGAGACTCAACTTCAGTACCCACATACAACACATAACTAAGAAAGTCTCTAAAACAGTTGGTATACTCTCCAAAATCAGATATTATGTTCCTAACTCTGCTCTCATCTCTCTATATTATGCACTAATCTATCCCTATCTCAACTATGGTATCTGTGCATGGGGTTCAACCACTGCAAACCACCTTAAGTCCATCATCACCCAGCAAAAATCTGCTATCAGAATAATATCAAATTCTGCTTTCAGACAACACACAGCCCCCTTGTTTAACTCCCTAAACATGCTAAACATAATCTCACTCCACAAATTCTCTTGTGTCAACTACATTTACAAAACCCTGTTCTTAAATGCAAATCCTTGTCTGAAACTCTTCCTGGACAGATGTAATAGGACCCATTATCACCACACCAGAAATAAATATCTCTTTGATATCCCCAGAGTTAAACTTAATCTGTGTAAACACTATGCAAATAAAGGGACTCAGTTTATGGAACTCACTCCCTACTGAATTGAAAAGCTGTCCAACTTTTACATCATTCAAAATCAATACTAAAAAGTATCTAATTTCATCTTCATAGTTTTTCACTTTTTGCCTTAAAATTGCACTGTATTAATTGCTACCCAATCTCCCAACCTTTATGTTCCCAATTTGAACATCTTTACCATTGTGATCATTGCTGTTTTCTTATATTGTTTTCTTCATTGCTTGAAACAGTCTCCGTGGTGTAGTGGTAAGACACTCGCCTGGCGTTCCGCGAGCGCTTTGTCATGGGTTCGTATCCTGGCCGGGGAGGATTTACTAGGCGCAAATCCTTAACTGTAGCCTCTGTTTAACGCAACAGTAAAATGTGCACTTGGATGAAAAAACGATTCTTCGCGGGCGGGGATCGTATTCCAGGGACGTGCCCGAAACGCTACACGTACTAGTGGCTGTACAGGAATGTAACAACTCTTGTATATATCTCAAAAAAAAAAAAAAAAAAAAAAAAAAAAAAAAGTGCTGCCAATCTGCTGTATGGTGTTTATAAATCTTGTTTATCTATATCTTTTGCTACCCAGTCTCCCAATCTTTATGTACCCAATCTGAACATCTTTACCATTGTGATCATTGCTGTCTTATATGTGCTGTCAATCTGCTGTATGGTGTCTATTAATCTTGTTTAAATTACTAATCAAGCTGTCAATGTATTCAATTAGAGCTTTAATATAACAATGTGCTTTAATATACTTACTTATCTCTCTCATCTCATTTTTCTCTTGCAATGTATCTTTATCATTTATCAATTCTGATAGAAATTACCTACTTAAAATTATCTGCTAGATTAAGGACCTGCCCGAAACGCTGCGCGTACTAGTGGCTTTACAAGAATGTAAATACTGTACTATCCAATGTATTCTCACAAACCCAATGTACCTTCTTGTATATATAAATAAATAAATAAATAAATAAATAAATAAATAAATAAAAAGCGGCGTGTGTTAGATCGTGTGTTATAGGTAGACATCTTCAGAAGGATGGATTTACAATTCAGTGGTGTGGATAACAAGTGCCTTGTGTCTATCACATCACTAAACGTCATTTAATAACTATATGCCTGTTAAGTAGAAGATTTAATGTTTTATTTATTTATTTATTTATATACAAGAAGGTACATTGAGTTAGAGAGAATACATAACATAGTATTTACAATCTTGTAAAGCCACTAGTACGCGCAGCGTTTCGGGCAGATTTTTAACTGTTAATAGCATTATATTGTGATTTTAATAGTGAGCAGTTATATTTATATACGAAACATACAAGTTTTCTACCAGAAATGGTGGAAATATGTGTGGGGATCCGTGCTCTGTAATTTAGAGTGGCAGCCGAAGACCGGACAACAACCGCCTGGTCGCATGAGCACCAGCGATCAGCTGATGACATCAACATTGTGTCCCTCGTCTACCCGGAGTGAACAACATCTCGCCCTACGGTCGACCTCTAACACACACCGCTTTTTAGTCGCCGCTCCTCTACAGCGAAGAACGATAAACATTTTAAAGCTTGATTCTCAACATTGGTACTCGTGCAGTCATCGAGAAGATAAACCATACAAACTGCACGTCCATTAAGGACCCAGTTCCCAGTCTTACATAAGATACTGTAAGTTCACTGCACATTTAGCAAAGAACCAGCAACTGCTCAACACCGTCAGCTACCAAATATCGGGAATGGCGGCGTTTATTGCCAAGATAACGTCAATCACGCCTCGTATCACTCGCATCCTAGGCTGCAACCCGGGGCCTATTGTCAAATTGTTATTAGGTTGTGTGATTGTTATGTTATGTGATTGTCTTAGGTTGTGATTGGTATAAGGTGTTTTTTTGGTAGTAGTTGTGAGACGGCTGTTGCGATGAGGTTGTTCTCAACGTGAGGTTCTTTACTGCCGTACTTGCCTAGTACTCGACTAGTTGTGCTTGCGGAGATTGAGCTGTCGCTCTTTGGTCCCGCCTCTCAACTGTCAATCAACTGGTGTACAGATTCCTGAGCCTATTGGGCTTTGTCATATCAACGTTTGAAACTGTGCATGGAGTCAGCCTCCACCACATCACTGCCTAATGCATTCCATTTGTAAACTATCTTGATACTGAAAAATTCTTTGAAATGTCTCTGTGGCTCATGTGTCTCCTCAGTTTCCACCTGTGTCTCCTCTTCCACCCATGCTAAATAGTTTGTCTTTGTCTACCCTGTCAATTCCTCTAAGAATTTTGTAAGTGGTGATCATGTCTCCACTTATTATTCTTCTGTCTTCCATGATGTAAGGTTTAGCTCCTAGAGCCTTTCCTCTTAACTCATGCCTCTCAGTTCTGGGACTAGTCTGGTGGCATACCTAGGAATCTTCTCTAACTTTGCCTTGTGTTGAACTAAGTATGAACTAATGAGGAGCTAAGACAGATGGAACAACATCAGGAGGAAGCTAATAAGGAGAGCACCATTAGAAAGTCTTTGTCTTGGAATGTCTCAAAGGATAGGGGTCTTAAGAAGACTAGGACAGCTGTAGGCAGGTTGTCAAAGACCTCCAATTCATTCGCCATGTTGGAAGACGAGTGCTGTAGGGAGATTGCAGTTCGCTCGAAAGGCACGGCAATGAAGGGCACGCAGGTCAATCAAGGTGCTCACAAAGTAAAGGAAGTACGTAAGTGAATTTTGGTTATGGGAGTCTCAGGTGAGGTATTTGAATAGTCATTGGCTCTAGACTTGGAGAGGCGGGGTTTATTGGGCCTAGGAAACTAGTTGTGGGAGGAGCTTGTGAGCTCCACTGGTAAGCTTGTGAGCAAATCTTAGTTTAGTGTCTTGAGAGGTGACTTGGGACAGTTCCAGGGGACCTGGGAGAAGCCGTCAACATCTGGCTGGTAATTTCAGTGAAAGGTAATTTGTTCCCTTGGTTGGGTGTGTCAGCTAATTGCACTCCTTTGCCTCATAGGATGTATTAAGAGTTAGGATATTATTTTGTGTCATTGATTAAATAACGTTTCATTATTGATTATTTGGAGTTTTAGCTCAATTCCCCTTAAAAATTTAGTCTGAGCCATTAGATTTCTCATTTTCATGCAGGTTTTGGAAGCTCCCTGTGTTTTTCTTCATTTAATGATAATTAAGACATCCCCTGATCCTCAATTGGTAAAGAAAAGAATTTCTATAAATTATCCCCAGTGTTAATGTCCGAGATGTAATACACCATTCGAGAGTATGATTATTGGTTTCTGTCCTTCCTAGGAGATCAGTAATGCAGGCACATTCAGGTTTCAGAAGGTGGTAGCAGTGTAAACTTAAGTTTTTATTAATATTAGAATCATAACAACCCAGTTGTATTTCCCCCATTTAATAATTCAGTTTAACATTAGAGCGGATAAGTTCAATGAGGGTCAAAGTGAGCTTGATAAGCAGTGTTAAGCTGGGGTTTTAAGTGAGAAAGGGGAGTATCAATCTGGAGGTGTTACATGAGGCCTTATCTGAGGACTTATCTGGCCTGGTCTGGCTCGAAGCCTGGTCTCTCCCGAAGCGTGATCTGGCCCAGCCCGAGGCTTGATCTTGCCCAAGGCCTCCTAGTCTGGTTGCCATCCCCCCCTCTACTGCCAACATGCTACAACCCACACCCCCACCCCCTCCAGCACCCAACCACCGGCAGCCCGCCAACCGCTCCCTCCTCTTGTCAGTTTGTTGAGAAAATTAGGTGATTTCGCTTGATTGGATTCAATAATGCTCATATATGTAGCATTTATATACCAAATTGTTTCCAAGTGATTGTTCCATCAAATGCCATAGGGAAAATGAAAAATTTATAATAATAAATGAATATTTTTATGAATACAGGTAATTATATCGAGATTGATACAATTGGCTTCCGGAAATCAACTTATATGAGCAGTTATGTTATGGTTATGATTTTGTTATTTATGTTATGGCATAGTTATGATTTTGATATGGAATTGTTCATCAATGATTGTTCTATCATGTGCCATGTTCAAAATTATAAATACATAAATAGATTTTCTAAAATTTTTGTATTGTTGATAGTGGATGTAGGTCCTCTTTTATTTTCATATGGAGGGGAGGGACAGCCTGGGGCCAATGGGTAGAACAAATTCCGTGGTGGAAGAAATTGGCCTTGCCCCATATAGTTAATTCAAGTAAGGACACACTGTAATTACTTGCGTCAAACTATTGCCCAATTAGCTTAATGTCTATTGTGGGAAAGTTGCTTGAATCGTTAACTGCAAATAACATTTGTTTTCATCTTGAAGAACATTGATTAATAAATGAATTACAACATGGTTTTACAAATGGCCGTTCTTGTGTAACAAATTTGCTATCATTTTATTTCAGCATAGTTGAAGCTCTTGATAGTGGTAAGGTTTGTGATGTTGTGGACCTTGACTTTAGCAAAGCTTTTGATACAGTGCTACATGATTTATTTATTTTTGTTTTATTTATTTTTATATACAAGAGTTCTTACATTCTTGTACAGCCACTAGCACGCATAGCATTTTGGGCAAGTTCTTAATCCTAATTTTCACACACTCACATCCCCAGGAAGCAGCCCATAGCAGCTGTTTAACTTCCAGGTACCTATTTACTGCCAGGTGAACATGAGCATCAGAGTGAAAGAAACTGCCCATTTGTTTCTGCCTCCACCGAGGATCGAACCCAGACCCTTAGGACTATGAACCCCGAGTGCTGTTCACTCGGCTGTCAGGCCCCCATTAAAACGATAGAGGTTTACGGTATTGGGGGTGCTATATTATTATTTTTTTTTTTTTTTTTTTGAGATATATACAAGAGTTGTTACATTCTTGTACAGCCACTAGTACGCGTAGCGTTTCGGGCAGGTCCTTAATCCTATGGTCCCTGGAATACGATCCCCTGCCGCGAAGAATCGTTTTTTTCATCCAAGTACACATTTTACTGTTGCGTTAAACAGAGGCTACAGTTAAGGAATTGCGCCCAGTAAATCCTCCCCGGCCAGGATACGAACCCATGACATAGCGCTCGCGGAACGCCAGGCGAGTGTCTTACCACTACACCACGGAGACTGATTCCGCGGTTAAGTTGGATTAGGGCATAGTTATACCAAAGGAAACAAAGAGTTAGTATAAATGTGGTTAAATGAGAGTGGGAAAATGTTGTAAGCCTATTGAATATTATGTAAAAGATAGGTTGAGAAAAGGATTAGAGCCTAAAAAAATTAAAGGCCTGTGTGATGATAGAGCTACTGCAGACACTTCTTCTGTAGTTCCTTCTTGAAAGGGAGCTACTGGGAGGAAGAGGCATCAGATCTGTGAATAGTTTTGCGAGTTATGCTTGATATAGTGATATAGGGAACTTCATCAATTGGTGGTGGAAAAAAATGTTTCAAGTTACCATTCTCTGTTTGCAGTCGTATTCTGCTTGATGCAGGCGAGAAAGGAAATGCAGACTACATTTCAGCACTCTTGTCAGTGTTGAAACAGCAAGAGACTACCATTGACAGAATTGTTATCACCCATTGGCATCCTGACCATATAGGAGGCTTAATGGATGTTCTTGGTTGCTTAGGAGGTAAGAAGCCTAATTTATATTAAAATTTGGGCTTGTTTCTGTTTCTCACAAGAATTTAAAAGAATATACTGTACACATTTTACTGATTTTGTGCGCTCACGGGTAACTTTTACCGACTTTAGGCTTTGCTGTGGGGAGTCAAGCCTGGCTGTTGGACTTTATATGCATATTCACCTGTAGGGAATTCTATTGTGAACACAATGATACCAAAACAAGTAACGTAGCACGAGAATTAAGGTGAGAAAACTTAAACGAGTATACACATTTAGTGTCGGCGAGCACTCGCCCGCACGCTCGCCTGCACTGCCAGGGGTTCTTCGTGCATATGCGCGAAGTGCACGCCTGGGGCTTGATGGTGTTAAGCATTTGGTTTAGAGCTGTGGCTCATCCATACCTGACTATTCTAACCATCTGTTCCTTTGCTGAGGCATTGGTAAGATTTATCTCGGGGACCTACTAGAACGGCCTCTATGAAATCAAACATTGAATGTAATGAAGCAACCATTTCTGATGGGCCCCTCAGAAGCACTCTGTACCCACTCTGGTTCCTCATTTTCCTTGAGAGTTTGTTCAAGTTGTTTATGAGTTAGGTGATGGCCAGACTCAGGCTGCATGTAAATTAAGTACATGGGTCACTATTTGTTGATTTGTTATGTTATATAAAATAATATTTGTTAACTAGTTAAACAACAAATATTGTTTGGCTAGTTAACTACAATTTTTTTTTAATTGTTGCTTGGTTTGATGCCTTTTTAATTTTTGCTAATAATTTTCTCCAGTCCCAAGCTGCCCACTCACCTCACAAAAAGAGCCAGATTTTGGTCCCAGTAACCTCAATTGGGTATTAGAGGTCTGGTGTAGTACCCTATGACTTGGTTGCCCCTGTGCTTTAGCTCTGGGAGCTACCAAGTGCACCACCATATAGACATTTCATTACATTTAGTACTTAATTTTAACTTGTGTTCAAAAAGTTTAAATGATAATTTCAGGTTGTGTTAAAGTATACAAATTTCCTCGAGCTGATGCTCCTGATGAGCCCCTACATGAGTCGGTTAGACTCATAAAACTCAAGCACAATGATGAAATCAAAACAGAAGGTGCAACTCTCAAGTAAGAAAAAATATTGCAGTATTGCACTTAATATATGATTATAGATCACATATCTCTACAACTTTTCTTTTCACAACTTGATAATGGTGCGGAATAGACCGAAACACCATCATTTTCTTAATTTTCAGATGTGTTGACCAGACCACACACTAGAAGGTGAAGGGACGACGACGTTTCGGTCCGTCCTGGACCATTCTCAAGTCGATTATGATGAGGAAGTAGATGCAGACAATAAAGAAACGTGGTCTCGTTAGGTCACGTTCTAACAAACGTAACCTAACATAAGCTTACCCTTCCATTTATCTTTCTTTCTCTTTCCTTTTCTTTCTCTCTTCTCTCCTGTTCATTGTTTTCTTTACGTTCCCTTACTATCCTCTTCTTATTCCTATTACTATCTCCTTCTCATTCGGTGGTTATAATAGGAGCTGCCTCGTATGGGCCAATAGGCCCTCTGCAGTTCTTATTCCTACTACTATCCCCTCTACTACACTTTGCTCCTCACCTCTCTCTAGCCTATTTATTGCCTGAATCTACTTCATCACAATCGACTTAAGAATGGTCCAGGACGGACCGAAACGTCGTCGTCCCTTCACCTTCTAGTGTGTGGTCTGGTCAACATAATTTAGCCACGTTATTGTAACTCATCGCCTGCATTCAGATGTGTTGGTTGGGTTTCTAGTTTTCATCCAGGTTATTGTGGCTTATTGTCTGCACTTGATTACTTTTAGTGTGAGGTCATGCCAATATGCAATCAAAGTTTCATTTCCTTATTACCTTGATAGTTTATTATAACAAACTAAGGAGGGGGTACTTGACATTGCCCTGGTCTGTCCTGTCTCCCATCTGCCCATCTATGTATTGATTCATCCATCCATCCATCCATTTATCTATTCATCCATCCATCTATATTAGGCTGACCATACTTCCTTGAGACAAAAACAGGACACTGTGATTGGAAAATCAGGTCATGTAATATTTTATATTCGTGGAAAAATAAGAGAATTAAAAAATGTTCATTACATAAACATATAAAGCTTACAATTATTCTTCAGTGATAGCACTCATACTAAAATTTACAAAAAATGTACTAAAATTTGTATACTAAAGGCCATCTTCTTTTTAGCATCCTTATGTGCTGTCCAACCTACCCCCTTCTTCAAAAGTAACACCAAAAAGTACAAAAGTAACACCAAAAAGTACCTGTCCAACCTACCCCCTTCTTCAAAAGTAACACCAAAAAGTACCTGTCCAACCTACCCCCTTCTTCAAAAGTAACACCAAAAAGTACCTAATTTCATCCTCATAGTTTTCTGCCTAGTACTTCAAACACACACTGTATCATGTGTTACCCCAAAATATGTACCTAAGCCATATAACTTCACCATAGTAATCACTGCCATCATCTTGTATCATGGTTATGTTGAATGCAAATTTCACTACAATGTAAAGTATCTACATTTGTGTTTACAATAGAGAACCACTAAGCTGGTATGGTGAGTGCAGACAATAACAGGTGGCCACACAGAGTCAGCAGACGACGCTATCGCCCTCGCTCCTTCAGCAATACTCCTCCCCACCATGCAACTCAGTGCTAATTATCATAACAATCCTGCTATTATCAGAATCCTGGTAATACTGTTTGGGGGTGCCTACCTTTCTAGATGCTTAAACCCTGTCAATGGCAAACATGAATATACTCTCTAAAGAGTGGAGTTTTCATAGGCCATTGCTCCCTTTGCCTCTCTGAGGGAACCAAGTTCTGGCTCATGGTTGCCAGTAGGCATGACAACTACCATATGACTGAAGCCCCAGACTAATATAGCTGAAGCCCCAGACTAATATAGGTAATATCAGTCCAATAGCTTCAGGGAACCTCTGGGTCTCACCCAGAAAATGGTGTTTCATTACATTCAACGCTGGTTTTTTCACTTGCCCTTTTTATGCTTTGAAGTTCTGCTTTTCATCTTGTTAGGCTAGCCTATGGTGTGTGCAGTGGAACTTCCTTGTTACTGTACCCCTTTTGGCCTTTCCATTGGCTTTGGGTAGCCAAGGTGGCCTCTTATATCGGGGTTTACTAGCGTAGCATTCAAAGTACTTGGGCTTCCGGCAGGGTGCTTACCCTGCAGGCCCTGGAAATCCCCTACGGGCTCGATTGTATTATGAATACCTCTTCTGAGCCCGCTCTCGCCTTGTGTGAATTTGAGGGTTGTTCGTCGCCTGTGCCATCTGTTCACATGTTCTGCTTCTGCCAGGCTGTGACTGCTGGGTCAGGGACACCTTTGACCCTGAGTTATTTGGTGTTTATTTTTTCCATGTGCTCCTGGCTCCCCATTTCTCTATTGGTGTCCAAAGGGGTCAGGAAGTGATTGCTCTGCAATTGAAGATTCTATTTTGCAGTGGTCTAGGTTGTGTGCCCAGTTGGATGCTCAGGTGCTGCCCCAGTTGGTGTTAGGTATTTGGATTTGGGGATGTTAGTCAACTTGACCTTGGTTCAATCTGCAACTCCTCTTCCTTCTTCCAAATTTATTATGTGAATTTGAAGAATTTTAAGTTAGTTTTTAAATCAGGCAAAACTAGGGCACTTCTGACTAGTTGAGGAAAATACTGGTATCTAAAATGAAAACAGACTTTACAACACTTGCCCAGATGGAACATAATATGGAACAGAGAACTAGCTGTCTGTGCTGGTCTACGTATTTTGAACATGACCTTGGCCTGCAATATGCAGCGTACATTCTGGATTGTTATACAGAAATTGCTTAACTAACCTTTTGCATTGGACTCAACAGTGGAAAAAAGTAGTTTGGAGGGGTATTAGGTGGTTTCATAGAAATACTTGCTATCTAGAATTGTACAGATTAATTGAGCTGCAACAGACATAACAAAAATATAATCTTCAATATGAGGTTTTGCAACCTCTTGAAAGAAAATACAAATTTCCTACCAACTTAGGGATGTCTAATTTTCTTCAAGCAGTTGCTTGTTTTCTTGTATGTTTACTTATTGATTTTTTCTTAGTTTTGTTTTTTATATCTAATTCTCTTGGTCTCTTGGTCTCATAGTGAACCAGATTCTTGTCCTGGCTTTCGTCCTGGCTTCCAGTCATGATAGATTGGTCTTGGAGTTGTGGTGTATTAAGCTAAGGCTTTGTGGAACCAATGTAAAGCTTGGGAAGTTATTGGAAGCCCTGTCAGAAAATGGTATTCAATTATATTCAACACTGATTTGTGTTACATAAAGAGGTGATACATTTCAAAATAGCACACAAGCTAAGGATTAAGGGTTCACTTATTTTAATATTGATTCCAGATAATTTCATAGCATCACAGATGTTTATACTTCCTCTTTCAAATTTCCAATAGAGTTCTTCATACTCCAGGCCATACCACTGACCATGTTGTATTAGCAGTGGAGGAGGAGGGGGCAGTGTTTAGTGGTGACTGTATATTAGGGGAAGGAACGGCAGTATTTGAAGATCTTCATACATATATGGCTTCACTAAAGGTAAGTGGAAGTGGAGTTTTTAATTTTATAAGTATATGAACCCTTATGGCAAGGATTCTGCAATAAATGTTATAATTGGTTATTCTTATGATTTGATTAGGGAATGTATTTGTGTGATGCGAAAGAAAAGCTTGGAAAAAAATTGTGTACCCAGGGGGGCCTGACAGGTGAGTAGACAGCGCTTTGGATTTGTAATCCTGAGGTTCCGGGTTTGATCCCCGGTGGAGGCGGAAACAAAATGAGCAGAGTTTTTTCACCTTGATGTCCCTGTTACCTAGCAGTAAATGGGTACCTGGGAGTTAGACAGCTGGTACGAGCTACTTCCTGGGGATGTGTAACAAAAAAAGAGGAGGCCTGGTCGAGGACTGGGCCGCAGGGACGCTAAGCTCCAAAATCATTTCAAGATAATCCCTTTTGGGTGTGAGGGCCTCATTATTGAGAGGGTGACCAGGTAATGTACTAATGTACACAGGTTTTGCAAAAACTTTCAACAACTGTGACCATGATGTTATTGTAAACAAAATGTGCACAAAAGGAATTACAGTATCTACTCAATTTAATGACCTATATGGGGGCCATACCCAAGTCGTTAATTCCAGGACTCTACTAAATCCTTAGGTTTTAAAATGTCGATATCTTTTTAGTTATATTCTGGAGGGCGAGTGGGCAGGATGTCTGGCAGGATGATACTGTCGCCTCTTATCGTGCAGTGAGCCGCTCCATCTTACGTTCGTTGACACTTCTTCAGCCCTGTTTCACAGGTTTTCTCACGCTTGATTTTACCTCCGGCCTACTCATGCACCACCTGAGCCTGACTGGTCTCTGGACCGGGTTCTTTCTTTTCTCTCTTCTGCACATTTTTGGGTGGCTCGTTTAGTCTGGGATTGTGTTTTGAAGGTAACATTTTTAGCTTTATTTGATCTCCAGTTGTCAGGCTGGTGAGCTTCATGCTCTTCCATGGTGCCGGGGGTTGTTCCTTTGTTCGGTTAAACCCGGCTCCTTCTTTTCTAGCGAAGAATGAGTCGTCATGCTTCCAGAGCATGTGGATTTTAGCTGTGGATGCTTGGTTGGTTCCACCTGGAAGGCATCATGTGCTTGGTTCGATGGCAGTTTTACGCCACTACCTTCATGCTACTGGTTCTGCTTCAGTATATTGGTTATGGGTTTTGATTTCCTCTGGTTCCCTATTCCAGGGCTTGTATTTCTCAGGTCATCTGCAGTGTCATTAAGTCATTGCCTTGTGGTGTGGGGTGAGTCGTCTTTGGTGGTGCACGAGCAATTTCCCAAGTATTCGGACTGCATGCGCCTAGTGTCACCTTCCCTAGGTGACCCTAGGGAAGGTGTAAGTACTGGCCTTGGGGCTTGGAGTTATCTTCCACAAGTCACCTTGGGGTCTACCTCTGTTGGTGTTTAGCTACTCGGTAGCTGCAAAACTTGCTACTAAGAGGAGAAATGTAGACATTTACATACCACAGAGTCTATCACAGATTAAGAAAGTAATTAGAAACAGAGCAATGCAAAAGATGTACAGTGACCACAACACAGCAGTTGCAACATCAGGATCTGCGGGTTGGTACAAGAATTCAACCAACTACGAACCACTTAGTTTGATGAAAGGGAACAGTAGAGCAACAGAAGTGCATTTACATCGCATCAGGCTTGGATACCCATGTGCATGGGAAATAAGCTTACAGGTTCCGGAAGATGAGAGAAAATGTCAACACTCTGGAGAAATGTCCGACAGACCACTGGAACATTATATAACACAGTGCACAGTTACAAACCCATTAAGATTTCAACTTAGATTCAACAGAGCAGAAGTTGTTAAACACATATGGCAAAATGTTACTGAAGCGACCATACGAGTCATAAATACTCATACTCCGCCCAAGTAAATCAGAAACAAGCAACACTTAGTGGGCCAGCCAGAGGCTCACTAGGGCACGGGCAGGAATATCCCTGCAAAAAAAAAAAAAAAAAAAAAGCTACTCGGTAATTGACCACCCTACCTTACCTTGAGGTGCTTCCGGGGCTTAGCGTCCCCGCGGCCCGGTCGTCGACCAGGCCTCCTGGTTGCCGGACTGATCAACCAGGCTATTGGACGCGGCTGCTCGCAGCCTGACGTATGAGTCACAGCCTGGTTGATCAGGTATCCTTTGGAGGTGCTTATCCAGTTCTCTCTTGAACACTGTGAGGGGTCGGCCAGTTATGCCCCTTATGTGTAGCAGAAGCGTGTTGAACAGTCTCGGACCTCTGATGTTGATAGAGTTCTCTCTCAGAGTACCAGTTGCACCTCTGTTTTTCAACAGGGGTATTCTGCACATCCTGCCATGTCTTCTGGTCTCATGTGATGTTATTTCTGTGTGCAGGTTTGGGACCAGCCCCTCTAATATTTTCCACGTGTAAATTATTATGTACCTCTCCCACCTGCGCTCAAGGGAGTACAGTTTTAGGCTCTTTAGTCGGTCCCAATAGTTCAGATGTTTTACTGAGTGGATTCTAGCAGTAAAGGATCTCTGCACGCTCTCCAGGTCAGCAATTTCTCCAGCTTTGAAAGGTGCTGTCATTGTGCAGCAGTACTCTACTCTAGAGAGCACAAGCGTTTTGAAAAGTATCATCATCGGTATAGCATCTCTAGTGTGAAAAGTTCTTGTTATCCATCCTGTCATTTTTCTTGCAGTTGTGACGGCTACTTTATTGTGTTCTTTAAAGGTAAGGTCTTCCGACATGAGTACACCCAGATCCTTTACATTGCCTTTTCGTTCTATGTTATGATTTGCCTGAGTTTTGTACGTGGTTTCCGTTTTTATATTTTCATTTTTTCCATAGCGCATGAGCTGGAACTTATCTTCGTTAAACACCATATTATTTTCTGTAGCGCATAGAAAGACCTGATCTACATCTGACTGGAGGTTCGCCGTGTCCTCTATGTTGCCTACTCTCATGAAGATCCTAGTGTCATCTGCAAAGGATGATACAGTGCTATAGGTTGTGTTCTTGTCTATGTCCGAAATGAGGATGAGAAAAAGTACTGGAGCAAGCACAGTACCCTGGGGGACTGAGCTCTTCACGGTTGATGGGCTGGATTTTATTTTGTTGACTATTACACATTGGGTTCTGTTGGTCAGGAAATTGTAGATCCATCTGCCTATTTTTCCGGTAATTCATTTTGAACGCATTTTATGTGCAATAACACCATGGTCACATTTATCAAAAGCTTTTGCGAAATCTGTGTAAATTACATCCGCGTTATGTTTGTCTTCCATAGCATCTAATGCCATATCATAGTGGTCCAGCAACTGCGACAGGCAAGAGCGCCCTGTTCTGAAACCATGTTGTCCGGGGTTATGGAGTTGCTGTGATTCCATGTATTTTGTGATTTTACTTCTTAGCACTCTCTCAAAAATTTTTATGATGTGCGATGTTAGCGCTATCGGTCTGTAATTTTTTGCCTCTGCCTTATTTCCTCCTTTATGAAGTGGTGCTATCTCTGCTGTTTTTAGTATGTCAGGGATAACGCCAGTATCTAGGCTTTGTCTCCACAGAATGTGGAGGGACTGCGATAGTGGTTTTTTACAGTTCTTTATGAATATGGAGTTCCAAGAATCAGGGCCTGGTGCAGAGTGCATAGGCATACTGTTTATGGCTTCTTCAAAATCCAGTGGGGATAGGGTGACGTCTGATATATGATTTGATGTTGGTATCGTATCCATGAAAAATTCATTTGGGTTATCAATCTTTAGTGTGTTTAATGGCTCGCTGAAAACAGAGTCGTACTGCGTCCTCAGTAGCTCGCTCATTTCTTTGTTGTCATCGGTGAAAGTTCCATCTCCCTTTCGCAGGGGCCCGATACTAGATGTGGTTTTTTATCTTGATTTTACATAGGAGAAAAAAAAATTCGGATTTCTTTCTATTTCACTGATGGCCTTTTGCTCTCTTTGCCTCTCCTGGGTTCTGTATGATTCTTGTAGCTTCCGTTCAATTGTTTCTATTTCTCTACCTAACCTTCGCCGTTCTTGAGATAGGGTGCGACTCTCAAGTTGTTCCGCGATTCGTTTTCTTCGCCTACATAGGGAACGACGTTCCCGTTCCAATCTGCATCTCTTCCTCTTTTTTCTTAGAGGTATGCGGTTTGAACATATTTCTAGTGCTACTGAGCTTATTTTTTCCAGGCACTGGTTCAAGTTTGCATTTCCTAGCTGTTCTTCCCAGTTTATTTCTGTGAAGTCCTGGTTTATTCGCTCCCAGTTTATCTGTTTATTATTGAAGTTGAATTTGCTGAAATCTCCTCCACCGGGAATCTGGACTGGTTTTGAAGGTCTACTCCCCATGGTTGTCATAACTTCAATTAAGTTGTGATCTGAGTAACAGGTATTTGTAATCATTATGTTCGTGATCAATTCATCATTATTAGTGAAAATGAGGTCCAGCGTGTTCTCCTTCCTAGTTGGTTCTACTATTTGCTGGTTTAAGGCAAACCTGTCGCACATCCGTAGCAGGTGATTTGCATGTGCCTGTTCATTTAGGCTGCTTCCTGGTATTCTTTCTGATATTACTGTATTAGCCAGGTGCTTCCATTTCAGGTGCCGTAGGTTGAAGTCCCCAAGCAGGATGATGTTCGGAGCTGGATTTGTGAGGTTTTCCAAGCAGTGTTCTATTTTCATTAGTTGGTCTTTAAACTGCTGAGGGTTTGCCTCCGGTGACTTATATACAAGGACAATAACTACATTTAGAATCTCTATTTTGATTATCAGCACTTCCACCATATCATTTGAGGTGTTTAGGAGCTCGGTACAGATGAGTGTGTCTTTGATGTAGAGGCTGACCCCACCCTGAAGCCGGTGTTTCCTATCACATCTGAAAAGATTGTACTCTGAGATCCATATTTTACCATCATGGTAGTCCTTTGTGTGGGTTTCTGTTAGGGCTGCAAACACTGCATTTACCTCATGAAGGAGACCATCTATAAAGTGAACTTTGTTGGATTTGCGTGTTTTTATACCCTGGATGTTGGCAAATATAAATGATGTTATCGTGTTAGTGGAAGTGCTGGAAGCCTTACTTGGTGTTAATATCTGAGGCTCTGGTAAGGAGGCCACTGTGTTTGCGTTCAGGGAGTGTTGTTTTGGAAGTGATTGGTCCAGTTTTGGTAGTAGGACGGGTGTTGTGTGGTGTAGCACCTGTGTGCTTGTTGATAGTTTGTATTCCAGTCTTGTTGGTATCTCCCTTCCCCTCTGTAATCCTGTAGTGGTTCCATCTGACTGTTCCTCTCTCTTATATTTACTACTCTGTTTCTGCCTTCCTCTAAAAAATTTCCAGTAGTGTCATATTGATCTTCCCGTCTATAACGCTCTGTACCTCTCACATGGAATTCCGGACACTGAAGATTGTAGCATTTTTTGTCCCTAATTGAAAATTGACATAATTTAGGGTGGAAGTATCTACACCCTGTTCCAAAACGGCATGTACCCCTCTCCAACATGTTCCTGCATTTTCGAGGATGCAGAAAATGGCATTTTGCTCCTAATTTTCCATATTTGCATATTCCTTTAGCGTAGAATTTGCAAATGTGTTCCGGTTTTGCGTTTTTCAAGGTATTTATATCTGTGACTGTCTTGTCTACCTCTTTATTGGAGCCATCTCCGTTTTTCGTCCCAATTCCTTCATCTATGCACTCTGTCTCACTGTTGCTCTCATCGTTTATATTACCTGGCTCTGCAATATTGCTGTTATTTTGTACCACAATAGTCTCCTCCTCCACACTACTGCTGCGGTTCTCTAAACTATCTGTTCCTGAGTTTTGGTCGTTATCCAATGTTGACTTTTCCCAGTCCGCATATATCACTGGTAACTTGTCTGTGAATGATAATCTCTGTGACTCGGGAATGTTTTTCATCAGTTTAGTTATGTTCTCTAACATTAATCTGTCATCTTTGTAAACCCAGTAAATTCCTTGCCTTTTTATGCATCCTGGAGATACTTCTGTACAGCCCAGGTGAAATCTTATGTTACAGATGCAGCACGTTACGCCTGCATTACGTCTTCCCAGTACTCCCGAACACTCGCCACACCTCTCCATTGTCTGGTGTATTGTGTTGTATTTGAGTCACTGTATGGATCACTTGTTGATGTCAGTCCTTTTAACTCTTTATAAAATTATATGTATTGTGACGGAGTTCCCCCCCTTATAATTCTCCCACGCCTGCAGTAAGAGTCATGTCTACTTTTCCCAAGCGTTCTCTACGTAGCAGGCTACAATTTGATATATGGGAGAGAGTGAAGTGTTCTCGGAGAGCCGAGAAATTTGTGAAATAGTGATATTTTGGCCTGTGGTTTAGGCCCTTTAGGGAGCCAAAATGGCGCTTACCTCTCTGATCTCCCGCCAAAACCGTGTGACGTCAGTGGCACCGGATTGGTCACCGACAACAGTGTGGCACCGGGAGCCAATGAAAACCTCCCGTGGCGAAAGTGACGTCACGAAGGAAGGGGGGTCCGGCCAGCGCGCCGGGCTGGCGCCAGCAGTCATACACGACACGTCATAGAGGTCGGACGTGCGACGAGTGGTCCTGTCTGTCGGACAGCTGTTTCCCACTACCGTGGATTTACGCGTCATCGGAAGTTCGCCAGTACTCTGAGAAGTCTTCCCTAGTTCATGTGTTGAACCAGCAGAGGGAATTGACGGTTATTTGAGCAACAAGCGCTCCAGTCAGGTACTGTGCCAGTAGCAGTGAAGCCGTGCAGTGACGTAGGTTGACGTCTGTGGCAATTCACCAGTTCGTGACAGCGTAGTGGCTGACAGAGCCACTGGGTAGCTGAGGAAGAGAGGACTATTTGGGGAAACCGGACGACTGTAGCTGAGACGTAGGCGACAGCCGTTGCTGGGAGAAGACGACGGCCAGGAGACCGACTCCAACCTTCAAGAAGTCAAGGAGGAGGACGGACCTGCAGTGAGGAGGCACGGAGACGACGCGCTAAACGGTGGGACGACGTGAGGCTCTGATAGGACACGACGACGTGTGGTGTGGGGGCGTTCCCGACACGAGGACCAGGAGCTACATCTCGACTCTCATCGGAGGATAGGGTGAAGTAGGTGGTTCTAGTTCCCTCCCCATTCCCCTTTAGTTAGCTATGTTATTTGGCTATATTTTCTAGCCTGAAGATTTTATATGTCGTGAGCAAGTCTCACCTATGTCACGGTAAAGCACCAGGGTGCTAGACAGTACTATCAAGAGTACTTGTAATATTCATGTTGATTGTTGGTGTGTACAGGCACCAGGAACCAGTGATAAATTTACTGTGTTGTGTATATCTTTCTATAGATTTTGATATGAACATATAGTGGTAAAATATATATATAAGATTATGCCAGTATTTGGAGGTTAGGCTATGTGCCCAGAAACTATTAATTTTCCATGTATTGATGATTGATTTATAAACCATATATATGTCTATGTTCATTCAGTGAATAATCATTTGTGAGTACAGTGAATTATTGCGTTATCGCCAACGAGAGAAAGTACTGAAAACTCCAGTGTTAATATTTCATAATATATTGTTGGATAAATAACAATGTGAAGCCATTACAGTGAATCATTATAGCATTGATTGTAGAAAAGACTGTTTGAGCCTGAGTACAGTGTAACTGAGTAGTACGGTTTATTTGTGCCAATATCGAGTGTGCGAGTTTCTAGTAATATTGGAAAATTTAAAGGAACAGCGCGCGTGAATCTAGAAAACAAGCAAAGTTCGCGCGGAGGGGCCATTGCAATCAGCTGTTCTTGACACTTGATGAGGAGGGGAGAGTGTTGCCCTCTTGCGGTCGCATAATATCCGTGGGAATTACCGGCCGAGTCAGGATCAGTTGATTTATCGATTATTGTGTGGCCTTGTGACATCTTTCATACCTTTTAAGTAAATTAAACCTGTTAATTTGTGTTCACTGATCATGGGAAAAATAATACAAAAATCGTAAGTGATATATATTGCCTGCTATAGGGTGGGGAAGTCTGGCAAAAAAACAGGCGCCGACTCAGCGTGCGTCCCAGACGATCTGTTGCTCGCCAGCTGTCAGGCCGGAGTTGCCAGAAAGAGATAATTACCTAATTATTTCAATGTCTCTGATTGATTTTTGTAGTTTTTTTTGCTGTAATATTATTCAATAATGTGATATATTTATATAATAAAATGAGTGAATCATCGCTGTACTCAAAGATATGGTGTGCATATTGTTGATTCAATTATGTTCATCAAACAGTGAACAAATAGTTTGTTGGTTATTACACTATATACACAGGTTATATATAAGTATCTGCATGTTTTGTTCACCATAACGAACCACTAAGTTGCTATTATGAGTCAAAAAGTAACGAGGAGTGACCGCCACACACCAGCCAGCCACTCGCTACCACTCACTCCCTCAACACCTCACTCGCCCACATTCTCCTCTCACCATACTGTTTTTGCTTTTATTCACTATATACAGACGTTATATATAAGTATCTACATTCATGTTCACCATAACGAAGCACTAAGTTGGCATGCTGACTGGCAGTGGCAGTGGCAGCCCGCCACTGGCTGCCACTCTCTCCCCCCCTCACCTCACGTGACTTGCCACCATTCTCCTCCCACCATACTGTTTTTGGTTTTATATACAGACGTTATATTTAAGTATTTACATGTTTTGTTCACCATAACTGTACATCTAAGCTTGTATGGTGAGTAAAGGCACAAAGACGTAGCTACTCACACAGTCAGCTGGTGGCGGCCGCCCTCAAGGCCAGATGCACTAATATTTCTCCTCCAACAATACTGTTTGTGGTGTTATTACGCTATATACACACATTATATATAAGTATCTACCTGGTTTTTTTCACCATACTTGTACAAGTAAACTGGTATGGTGCCCAAAGACCATAGTGGTCACCTGTAAACATGATAAGTCATGCAGACGACGCACCTCCCTTGCCAAAATTGCGGCTCCCAACCTACTCCTATTGCTGTTATTACACTCTATACACACACATTATATATAAGTATCTACATTTGTGTTCACCATAGCAAACCACTAAGCTGGTATGGTGAGTGCAGTCAATAAAAAATGGCCACACAGTCAGAAGACAACGCCACCACCCTCCCTCCCACAGCATTACTCCTCCCTCCATGGAGCACAGCGCGGTCCCCGGTAGGCCTATAAACTCCATTCACACTGATGCCAAAGTCTAATATATTACATATCAGTCTGGATAGCTCCGAGGAGCCTCAGGGTCTCACCCAGAAAATGATGTTTCATTACATTCAACGCTGTTTTTTTTGTTTGTTTTCAGTTAATCATGAACTTACAACCAAAGGTTATCTTTCCTGGCCATGGCCCGGTGATAGATGATCCAGTGATCAAAATTCAGCATTATATCGACCACCGCAATGAAAGAGAGAGCCAGATCCTTGACGTTCTTGCTAGCAATCCAACTAAATTTTTATCATCCATGGAAATAGTCAAGCTTGTTTACAAGGTCAGTGAAGCAGTTGCACAAAAACAATTATTGGTACTTTTCATGTTAAATGATTAGAACTATTTGTTTCATCACTCCAAATCCAACCTTAGGTTATTCAGTTTATTGCTGTGTATATTTTGGTCAAATCATGTTATTTGTAAAATATTTTTATGAAGTATAGGATCCATCAGGAGAAGGTTGAACAGTACTATTTGAAAAGAAGACAAAACAAAAAAGCAACGAAACAGTAAGTCACTTTGACATGAAAAATATTAATTAAAATATAAGTATTAAAAGGATAAATTACTTAAGTGTAATATCTTCATGTTTATGCATCATTGTAATTACTGCCAACACACTATCTGAGTTCTACAAGAGTATCTTAGTTGTTTTGAAGATTAGGTGTTTAGTAGTTCATGTGACTGTCACAATTATAATGTCAATCATTCACTCTTTCCGTTTCTCATTCCTTTATATCAAGAAAAGAATTAAGAAGTGTGTGTATAAGTTTTTAGTCAGCCTACTTCTGATTAGATAAAGACGGTACACTTCCCGACCTAACTGTCGGACCTCACTCTTTGTTTATTCCATCTATTCGTTTGCTGTCTGGTCCCAGGCGGTTTATTCCATCTATTCGTTTGCTGTCTGGTCCCAGGCGGTGCTTCCACTCATGTGAGGCCTATGTACTCTCACAGCTGGCCACGTCGTCACTGTCTGGTCCCAGGCGGTGCTTCCACTCTGAGGCCTATGTACTCTCACAGCTGGCCACGTCGTCACTGTCTGGTCCCAGGCGGTGCTTCCACTCATGTGAGGCCTATGTACTCTCACAGCTGGCCACGTCGTCACTGTCTGGTCCCAGGCGGTGCTTCCACTCATGTGAGGCCTATGTACTCTCACAGCTGGCCACGTCGTCACTGTCTGGTCCCAGGCGGTGCCTCCACTCATGTGAGGCCTATGTACTCTCACAGCTGGCCACGTCGTCACTGTCTGGTCCCAGGCGGTGCTTCCACTCATGTGAGGCCTATGTACTCTCACAGCTGGCCACGTCGTCACTGCGGTGCAATCTCTGCACCTGCTCGACGACCCAGCAGGGTCGTCGAGCAGGTGCATCGAGCTGGAATTTACAGTCCAGCATTGTTTTTGTGGCTGTTCATGGCAGACAAAGACTTGTCCCCTCTTACCATTTTATATCTGCATATTTTCTGTGGGGAGCCCCGTTGGCTCCCTGAAGCTATCAAACTGACATGTGCCATATTAGTTTGGTGCCATCAATCCTTGGAGTTCTAGTGCCTACCAGGTGCCACGAGCCAGAATCTGGCCCCCTCAGAGAGGCGCAGGGAGCAATGGCCATATGAGCACTCTACATTTAGAGTTTGTCATGTCTGCCATCGACTGGGAAAGGCACCCAGAAAGGTAGGCGAACCATTACAAACCTCTAACTGGTTAAAATTTCAACCTTCGTCCGAACAGAGCCAAAGAATTCCCCTCAAAAGAAAACAATGAAACAAGCAAATCATCATCCAACTAGCACACCTGTTTATTATTACCCTCCCTCCCCTGATGGGGGGGAGGGGAGGCCTGCTCAGGTGAGCCAGCCGCTCCACCCCCCAGTTTGTAGAACGATGAAAAACTGCCGACCAGAGGGAGGGAGGCTGGGGGAAACGCCACATTCTGGGCGAGCCCCGGAAGCTACCTGATGCCCTCTCTTCCTCCAGTCGGCAGTTTCAAGAAATGGAGTGGTGGACTGTGAGCTCCCCCACCCCCCTAACCTCCCCCCTAAGGTTTGTTTTCTTTCTGGGGAAGTTCTTTTGCTATGTTCGGACGTAGGTCACAATTTTCAACAGATTGTGGTTTGTTTTGTTTTGCCTATCTTTTTGGGTACCCTCCCTGGTCAATAGCAATTATGACATACTTTAAATGTAAATTGCTTATAGGCTATTGCTCCCTGTGCCTCTGGTGGAACTAGGTTCTGGCTCGTGGTTCCTGATAGGCATAAGGACTCCAGTGATTGATGACCTGAAACTAATATAGCACATACCAGTTCGGATAGCTTCAGGGAGCCTCCTGGGCTCGCTCAGAAAATGTCGTTTCATTACATTCAGCACTGGTTTTTTGGCAAAGAATGAGTTAGTTGGCTTGCGAAGGGGGTCCAGTGATCATAGATCACTGGACCCCCTGGTCCCTGGTCCACCCTGGTCCCTGATCACCCTGGTCCAGTGATCGTAGATCATTGGACCAGGGTGTATTGTTTATTTTGTCCGATGGTGGCTTTGCACCGCCACAGGTTCTGCTTCAGTGGACAACAAATTTCTTGGTTGATCTGGTTTGCGTGGTTCCCTGTTCCAGGGCTCATATTTCTCAGGTCATCTACAGTGTCATTAAATCTAGCCAGCCTGCAGTCTACCCTCATGCTCTTGATGTTCGCATATATGCTGACCTGTCGGTGGTCTTTGCCAATATGTCTTGGGCTGATATTTTGGTGGAGGGAATTTTATGGTCGAACAGGGTGTTGGGGCCCAGGTATCTTGTGAATGTTTGCAGTCCTCAGCAGCCTTGTGTGGCCTTGGGTTGTGTGTCACAGCCATTGGCCTCTTCCTCTTTCTGATAATTGCGTTGATCTCTCCTCCCTAGTAAATTCCGTGTTTTTCCTCCTCCGTGGGTAGCTAGTTTCAGGGAGCCACAAGGGACTTTCCCCCAGAAAACCAGCATTGAATATAATTAACACTTTCGTCCCCCATAAACGTCTGCGACGTACACAATTAACTCTGCGGATGTGCGAAACGAACTGTCCTGATGTCCGAAATTAAAATATTTGTTAAAAATTTCATTGTTTATTCGATCATTATGGGACTAGTCTTAAAATGTGTGCCTTTAGTTTGCGAACCATTTGATAACAGAATGAACGACGTAGTAGGAAAATTGAAGTGAGAAAACTGAGCAGATTATACTCATTTTAGTGTGAATGTGCGGATGGGTGCTTGCTCATGGGTAATGCTCGGCATAGTTTCTAGTTTGCTGTGGGTAGCACGCCTGTTTATTTTTATCTTGTATACATATATCCCCTTAGAGAATTCTATTGAGAACAAATTGATACCAAAATGAACGATGTAACACAAAAATTGACGGGTAACGCTCACAGGTAACGCTCGGCTGATTTTCAGGTTTGCTGCGGGTGGCATGCCAGGCTTTTTGACCTTATATGCATATATCCCTTTAGATAATTCTATTGGGAACATTTTGATATCAAAATGAACAATATAACATGATAATTGACGTGAGAAAACACATTTTAGTGCGGGTGTTGTGGGTGTGCAGATGGGTGCTCCCTCACAGGTAATTCCTGGCTTTTTCTGGGTTTGCTGCAGGTGGCATGCCAGGCTTTTAGACCTTATATGTATATATCTTTTTAGAGAATTCTATTGGGAACAAATTGATACCAAAATGAAAGATGTAGCATGAGAATTGAGGTGACAAAAGTGAAAAAGAGTACACACATTTTATTGCTCTTGCGCACTTATGGGTAACACTCGGCCGATTTCTGAGTTTGTTGCGGGTGGCACGCTGGGCTTTTGGACCTAATATGCATATACCCCTGTAGGAAATTGTATTGCGAACATTTTGATATCAAAATGAATAATGTACAATGAAAATTGAGGTGAGAAACTTGAAAAGAGTAAATACATTTGTGAGGAGGTGTTGCGGGTGTGCCAATGGGTGCTCGCTCACGGGTAACACTTGTCCGACTTTTGGCTTTGCTGCAGGTCGGGCATGCCGGGCTTTTGGACCTTATATGCATTTATCCCTGTAGGGAATTCAATTGAGAACATTTTGATACCAAAATGAACGATGTGCCACGAAAATTGAGGTGATACAGCTGAAAAGAGTATACACATTTTAGTGTTGCATTGCACTCACAGGAAACGCCCGGGCCACCTTGGGGTAGTCTGGCATGCGCACGCCCCAAACGCATAAGTGTTAAATGCCAATTTATGGGTGAGCCTCAGTGGCTACCTGACACCCTCCCTACCCCTGGGCATTGGGGTGGTTTACATAATAAGAGCTGGTGGTGGAGCTGCAGGCTGACCCTGTCTGACTCCCTATTACCCCCAAATGAGGGGGAAGGGAGGTGAGGTGAACAAGTTCTCGCTAGTGTCACAAATTGTTGATGGTTTGTTTACTTTGTTGGGGAAGTTTTTTTGGCTGTTTGGAAGCTTCAGTATGATTTTAAACCAATCAGTGGTGTGTTTTGTTTTGCTAACTTTCTGGATGCCTTTCCTTGGTGGTGGCAAACATGAATGAATTTTACATAATAATATTCATAGTGCCCCTGCTCTCTGTGCCTCTTTGAGGGGAGCCAGGTTTTGGCTCGTAGTCCCTGGTAGGCTAATAAGAAGTATGCGATCTGATGGCACCTAGTAGTTTGGTACTTTATCAACATAGTAGCATCACAGAACCACCGGCGCTCGCCTAGAAATTGGTGTGTTTCATTATATTCAGTGATTTTTTTTGTCCTTATACTATCAATGCACCATAGATTGTCCTTCTTTTCTACTATAATGCTTCAATTTTCATGCTTATACTCTCTATACATTTGTATAAAAACTACTCTATTCATGAGCAAAATATTGTAATAGTTAGATATAATGCAATCCCATCAAGTGCATTCATGATGTGTTTGCTGATCTTTTTATATGTGGCTAGTACAGAAGACTCTTTGAATTCTCTTATTGTATGATTTCTTAGCTAATTTGTCACAGAATCAATTCGAATGTTGTTACTCAACCAACTAGCTTTCAATATACTCATGATTTATAAAAACAATACTATTGTATGCTTTTGCTTTCTTTTAGAAACTGGGAGATAAAGAGATAGGAACTGAATGAATCTTAATTTGCTACTTTCTAAGAAATATTGCACAAAATGTTTCTGTAATCCAGAGTTTACAAAATTCATATGGATGCAAAGCTTTTCTCCACTTACCTTATTGCATCGTTCATCATAGACCAGTTAAAAATTTCACATTATTCATTTAAATGGGTTAACTGAGCGAAATGTTCATTTGTGCCTAGGAAGAGCATAACTGTAGTGCA